TCATAGGAAAGTGACATTTACACTAGACTATAGTCTGTTCAAGGTACAATAACATTATGTCTAAAAAAACAATGTACACACTTTATTGACAATGTACACATGTTATTGCTAAATAATGCTAATGCTCGTCTGAGCCTTCAATGAGTTGAAATGTTTTTGCTGGTGGAAAGTCTTTCTTTCTTTTTTTTTGAGACAAAGTCTCACTTTGTTGCCCAGGCTAGAGTGAGTGCCATGGCGTCAGCCTAGCTCACAGCAACCTCAATCTCCTGGGCTCAAGCAATCCTCCTACCTCAGCCTCCCAAGTAGCTGGGACTACAGGCATGCGCCACCATGCCCGGCTATGCTGGTGGAAAGTCTTGCCACGATGTTGATGGCTGCTGACTGATCAGGGTGGTGGTTGCTGAAGGTTGGGGTGGCTGTGGCAATTTCTTAAAACAATAGTAAAGTTTGTCACATCAATTGACCATTCCTTTCACCAAAGATTTCTCTGCAACATGCAATCCTCTTTGATAGCATTTTACCCACAGTATAACTTATTTCAAAATTGGAGTCAATTCTCTCAAACCCTGCCACTGCTTTATCAGCTAAGTTGCTATAATATTCTACATCCTTTGTTGTCACTCCAGCAATGTTCACAGCAGCTTCACTAAGAGTAGATTCCACTTTAAGAAACCACTTTCTTTGTTAATCCATAAAAAGTAACTCCTCATCCATTCAAGTTTTATCATGAAATTGCAACAATGCAGTCCCATCTTCAGGCTCCTCTCTTAATTATAGTTCTCTTGCTATTTCCATTGTATCAGCAATTACATCCTCCACTGCAGTCTTGAATGCCTCAAAGTCATCTATGAGAGTTGGAATCAACTTCTTCCAAACTCCTGTTAATGTTGATACTTTGACCTCACATGATCACAAATGTTCTTATTGGCATCTAGAATGGTGAGTCCTATCTAGAAGGTTTTCAATTTATTTTGCCCAGATCCAGCAGAAGAATCACTGTGTATGGTAGCTATAGCCTTACGAAATGTATTTCTCAAATATGAAGATTTGAAAGTCAAAATTATTCCTTGCTCCACGGGCTGCAGAGTGGATGCTGGGTTACAAGGCATGCAAATAACACTAATCTCCTTGTACATCTCCATAAGAGGTCTTGGGTGACCAGGTGCACTATCAATGAACAGTAATATTTTGAATCTTTTTTTCTGAGCAGTAGGTCTCAACCATGGGCTTAAAATACTCAGTAAATGAAACATATAAGCTGTCATCTAGGCTCTGTTATTCTATTTACAGAGCACAGGCAGAATAGATTTAGCATGATTCTTAAGGGCTCTAGGATTTTCATAATGGTAAATGAGCATTGGCTTCTACTTAAAGTCACCAGCTGCATTAGCCCCTAACAAGAGAATCAGCCTGTTCTTTGAAGCTTTTAAGCCAGGCATGGACTTCTCTCTAGTTGTGAAAGTCTTAGATGGCATCTTCTTCCAGAATGCAGCTGTTTCATCTACATTGAAAATCTATTGTCTTGTGTAGCCACCTTCATCAGTGATCTTAGCTAAATCTTCTGGATAACTTGCTGCAGCTTCTCCATCAGCACTTGCTGCTTTATCTTGCACTTTTATGTTACAGAGATGGCTTCTTCTTTCCTTCAACCTCATGAACCAACCTCTGCTAGCTTCTAATTTTTCTTCCCCAGCTTCTTCATGTCTCTCAGCCTTCATAGAATTGAAGAGAGTTAGGGTCTTGCTCCAGTTTAGGCTTTGGCTTAAGGCAATGTTGTGGCTGGTTTAATCTTCTATCCAGACCACTCAAACTTTCTCCATATCAGCAAGAAGGTATTTTCACTTTGTTAGCATTTATGTATTCATTGTGTAGCACTTATAATTTCCTTCAAGAACTTTCCCTTTGCATTTCAACTTGGCTGTTTGGTACAAGAGGCCTAGTTTTTAGCTTATCTTGGTTTTTGACATACCTTCCTTACCAAGCTTGATCATTTCTAGCTTTTTATTTAAAGTAAAAGATGTGCAACTCTTCCTTTCACTTGAACACTTAGTGGCCATTATCGAGTTACTAATTGGCCTGATGTCAATATTGTTGTGTCTTAGGGAATAGAGAGGCCTGAACAGAGGAAGAGAGACAGGTTGGTCCTGCAGTCAGAACACACACATGTATAGATTAAGTTCACCTTCTTTTGTGGGTGTGGTTCCTGACACCCCCCAAATAATTACAATAGTAACATCAAAGATCACTGATCAAAGATCACCATACAGATATGCTAATAATGAAAAAGTTTGAAATATTGTGAGAATCACCAAAATGTGACACAGAGACAAGAAATGAGCATGTGCTATTGGAAAAATGGCGCCCATAGATTTAATTGACACAGGGTTGCCACAAACCTTCAATTTGTAAAAAATGCAATATCTGCATGAAGTGCAATACAGTGTGGTATGCCTGTACTCACCTAAATAAAATCTTTCAATTCAAATGTAACCTACTTTTCTAGGCAGGTAATGTAAAGATATAAAAATTACTTATTTGTAGTTTACCAAATATTTTACTTCTATTTTATTATAATTATATGATAGGAGAGTATTTTTCCCCATAGTGAAATTGCCTCATGGAAATGAAGTGGTTGGATGGCCGTGACTAAGCTTTCCATCATTTTGTAAGAAGATTCTCATTACTTTCTATCATTCTGTTTATGAATTTAAGTCACCAACTACTTGGAGGAACATAGAACTCTCCAATGGGCCCATAAAAAGGTCCAGTTACTTGTCCCTTCTAGACAGTTTATGACTTTTGATCATGCTACATTATTGCGTATTGTCACAGTCAGCTCTGTGAAATATTGCAAGCAAGTCCATGGATGGGCAGCTATTCTAGGCAAGGTGAAAATCAAAGTTATATCTGGCCCATAATTCTGGCCTTAAGCTGCTGCCTTCTCCTTCATTTATTTTTGATAACGTACCTAATTGGTTCCATGTGGGCAAAGCAATTTACCCTGAGATGATTATTTCCACCAGTGGGATATGCAGGCTCAGCCATCTGCGAGGGAGAACAGTTGGCTCCTGCAGATGAACTGTTTTGAGTGTTTGCAGCTTTCAAATAGGCCAGGTGATTTTTACAAACTAAAAAAAAAAATATGCAAGTTTTGTTTATTAAAAGCGAAACTCTAAGTAGCAAAGCAAGCAAATGATTAGAGCTAAGAAGCAGTTAGAAGCACATTGATGAAAAGGACAGGGAACAACTGGGCCTGGCATTGCTTGTTTTCTCTCATCCTTATGCCAAGGGAAGGGCCTGGGTGTGTCGGGCGCTTTCTGGAGTGTGGCTCTCACGTGACACCTCCCCACCTAAGCTTAGTGGAAGAGAAACAGCACCCAGGACAGTCTCTCAGAAGGCAGGAAGAGGCAACTCAGGAGTGGGAACAGAGGGGAATAGGTAAGGGGGGTTTCCTGGAATGGCTCAAGCCTCAGGCTGCAGCTCGTAGCTAGGTATGTCCACGTCCCTTTGTCCCTTCGGTCCCTGCCCCAGGAAGGATGGTCATGGGCCCAAGAGGCCTCTTAGGAGGGTCACCTCTGCCCAGGCAGCACATATTTAACAGTGAAGACTCTTCTCTTAGCTGATTCCCCAGGGATTCTTAACTGTGTCAGGTCTGACCAGATAAAAATATTATCTTGAACTAGAGAAATTGCCACTTTTGTAGATCCAAGTGGTCAAACATCAGGAAATTTTTACTGATTCAACCTAATATTTACATTTACATGCTGACCAGTTTATATAAGTTGATACATAGAGTAAATTATTAGAAATCCAGATAATGCCTTTTTTAATTGAAAAATTTATTAAGAAGGTTGTAGAGTCATATGCAGTTTTAAGAAATAATACTGAGAGATCCTATGTCCCCTTTACCCAATGGTGACACTTTGAAAAACTATAGAATAAAATCACCACCAGAATACTGGTATTGATACAGTGTTATTCGGTTTTCCCCAGTTTGACATGTATTCATTTGTGGGTACGTGATTAGTTCTGCACAATTTTATCACATGGGTGGATTTGTGTAGTCAGTGCACTGAAGGGTTTCAGTAGCACAAGGATCCCTCCTGTTGGCCTCACACTTCCCTCCTTCCAAGTCTCCCCCATCACACCCCTACCATCCCTAACCCCTGGCAGCCCCTAATCTCCATTTCCAAAATGTTTTTATTTCAAAAATGTTATACATCTTGTTGGAATCAGTAAAAAAAAATACAAAAATGTTATATAAATGGAACCGTACAATATGTATCCTTTTGGGATTGAGTTCCCCACTCTCTCACTCTGAATAGTTCCCTGGAAATGTATCCATGTAGTTGAATGTAGTAATAGTTCATTCTTTTCTATTGTTGCCTAGTGTTTCATATATGGATGTACCACAGCTTAACCATTCACCCACTGAAGAACATTTGGGTTGTTTCTAGTTTTGGGCTATTACAAATAAAATTGCTGTGGACGTTTGTGTACAGATTTTTGCATGAATATAAGTGTTCATTTTTCGGGAATAAATGCTCAAGAGCAAAATTGCTGGGGCATATGGTAGTTGAATGTTTAGTTTAAGAAACTGCCAAGGCCAGGCTCTGTAGTTCGTGCCTGTAGTTCCAGCACTTTGGGAGGCCAAGGTGGGAAGGATTGCTTGAGGCCAGGAGTTCCAGACTGGCCTGAGCAACATAGTGAGACCTATTCTCTATAAAAACTATAGTCCCAGCTTCTCGGGAGGCTGAGGCAGACGGATTGCTTGAGCCCAGGTGTTTGAGATTGCAGTGAGTTATGATGATGCCACTGCACTGTAGCCTGGGCGACAGAGTGAGACTCTGTCTTAAAAATAAATTAAAATAATAAATAAATAAATAAGAAACTGCCAAGCTGTCTTGAGAATCCTTTTTTTTAAAAAATGAGAATGTCTAACTTCATAGGATTCTGTGCTCAGTCTAAAAACTAATCTTTTCTCTTGATCCTTTTTGTAGCTACACCATATCCTGGTGGATTTAAATGTTTCACCTGTGAAAAGGCAGCAGACAACTATGAGTGCAACCGATGGGCTCCGGACATCTACTGTCCTCGAGGTAAACTTTCAGTAGACAGATGGGGCTCCCGCGAGCTGTCCATCAATGAATAGCCCTGTTGACATCGGTGTGGGTATATAGAGAGAGGCATGCTTGCCATCTCAACTGCTCCTCTTGTCTGAGGCTATTAGATCTTTTTGTGACTTATCAAAGATTCACAGAGACATAAACTGATCCATAAGATTGCACCCTTTCTCATGTATCTCTGGAGCTCCGCAGGAGGTAAGTGACACTTTCCCCCACACCCTCAGGCCCAGCCGAATGCAGAACAAGAGAACAGCCAGCTGTTTGCTACTCTTTGAGGCACTAGTCATTGCACAGTAACCTCTTTCATGTAAAGTATGAATTGATGTTCATATAAAGATTCCATTTATTACATATCTTGCTAGAGACTTTCATGCAGTCTCTAGAATTTAGAATTCTGAATGTCCTCTTTGCACAAGTAAAAACTCTGAACTTTTTAAACTATTAAGTTCTCTTTGAAGGAGGAGAATGATGGCCACTTGGAGCATGAAATTTTTACCCAAAGGCCTGTTTCAAAATGAGGAAGATCTGTCATATTCATATGCTTTTATTCTATCAAAGAAAAAAGGTAGTTATATTTGGCTATGAATCAGTCTTAATTGGCTGCTTTATTTGGAGGACAGTTGATTCATTGGGGGGAGGATGATGAGGATGGGGCATTTTACTGGCAAAATGTTTGAGTGAGTAGTTAGATGGGTTTCACTGCGGATCTCTTTCACTTGTTGAAATGACTTAACCCATCAACACCGAAGCCATTATTTTTCAACATGATGCAAGAGACTCTCATCCCCAACCCAATGAACGGCACTGTCTTTCTCATGGAGGAATGGAAATTGGGAGAGCATGGAAACCAAAATTAAAAGGCAGATGTCAATTACTCAAGCCAGTACTATTAATACTTAAATCAGGAGTCTCCACCTAGGCTGCCCAGTAGAAACACCTGTGGAACTTTTCAAAATCACTGAAACCTGTGCCTTACTTACACCAGTGATTCTCAAACTTCAACATCATTATTCCCTAAAGGGCTTATTATTAATAAAACATAGATTTCTGCTACCACCCCCATCCCCCACTCCACCCAAGTTGTTGATTCAGTGGGTCTGAGATAGGGCCTCAGAATCTGCATTTCTAAAGAGTTCCAGGTGATGCGTTAAGAACCGCAGCTCTACACAAGTTGAACCAGTATCTCTGAGAGTAGGGCCCTGCGTGGGTATTTTTAATATCCCAGTTGATTATAATGAACAAAGGCAAGAACCACTGGGAATTTCTCTACTCACTAATAGACAGGGAAATCTGTCATTGTATCTAGATTCCTCTTGCTTACTTTTAGGTAGAGATGCTAATGGCGTCCCAAGAGACCATAGAGAGGAAGGAAACATGAAGACACGAAAGCTTGACTCAATCACAAGCTAGATAGCCAACCATCTGGGTAATCCAAGATACGTTTTGTCTCTACTGCGTTCTGTAGGCACTGCTCTTTTCCAAATGGGCCAGTGTTTTCTAACAGTACCAGCACAGAATGAAGGCTCTAATGGGCCTGGTTAAACCACTGCTTCTCAAACTTGGCTGCATCTCAAAATCACCTGGTAAATTTTTGAAAACACTGATGCCTGGGCCCTTTCCCAGAGGGTCATATTTAAATGGTGTGGCTAGGCATAAGGGTTTTTAAAAGCACCCTCCTTAGCCCCAAGTGGTTCTCATATGGAGCAAAATTTGAGAACCATTGTAAACAGTACCTCTGGACAAAATCAGGATGATTTGTTTGTATATTCAGTAACCTGGTTCCTGCTGGGACAAAGCTGGTCAATTTGCTTTTGAAACTGTCACCGCTGGTCAGAGCTAATGTACAGGAAGTGTGGCTTACTCCACTTGTGCTGCTGTAACAAGATACCTCAGACTGGTTAATTCATAAACAACAGAAATTGATTTCTGACAGTTCTGGAGGCTGGGAAGTCCAAGATCAAGGTGCCAGCAGGTTCTAGTGAGGGCTTCCAAGGTCACTGTGTCCTCCAGAGGGAAGGAACATTGTCCTCACATGGCAGAAGGATGGAAGAGGGTGGGAGGGAGGGAAGGGAATGAATCTTCAAACCCTTTTATAAAAGCCCCAATCCCATCCATGAGGGCTCCACCTTTATGACTTAGTCACTTCTTAAAGGCTCCGCCTCTTAATACTACCACATTGGGGATTACGTTTCAGCATGTGAATTTGGAGGTACACATTCAGACCATCACAAAGGGTAGCTATGCTTCTCTTACTATTCACTTAGCTCTGCGGTACCCTAGCAGAGATACAACAGAGAAAAAGGAGGGAATGTGAACTGGTGCTCTCTGTGGGGTTTGGGTCGTGTGTCATAGGACCCCCATCTAAATCTGATGATGTGCAAGTATGTCCCTGTCACACAGAAAATACAGGTGATCAGAGGGACTCTGCTTGAATGCCTCTCGGGGTTGGGGGGGTAAGAGGAAGTTCCAACTTGATGCTTTCTTTTGAGGTCAAAATCTATCCTTCCAAAGTATCTCAGAGTGGCCTCTCCACAATTTATCCTTTTCCTCTTTTTTACTTCCACTTTTATCTTTTTGTCCTTAAATGTATAGGGAAAAACAGAAAGTCATGCACTGAGATTCATGACACAAAACCACCATGCCAGGCCCCTGGGGGGATTATGCAGTGACAGATAGGAATCTGGTTTCTTCTTTCAAGGGACAGGCAGTTTAGCCAGGGAGATAAGATCAGAACATATCAAATGTCAAAAATAGCAGGACAAAGCTAAGTGTCAAATGAAACATGGCATTAAGTGCTGTGGGAGTTTAAAGGAAGAAGAGCTATTTGGGGCTGGAGGTGGCCGTTGAAAGCACTATGCGTTGGGAAAATCACAGCAGCCCTACACCTGGGAGATGGCAGGAGAGCCTCGAATAGGGCACATCTTCCAGGAGGTCACGCAGAGCGAAGGTATGGAGACAGGATGCCCCGCGTGTGCTCAGTGGACAGGGAGAGACCCAACCTGAGAGTAGCAACTAGTTTGTATCAGAGAGGGACAGAAGCAAGGTAGTGGGGCTGTGTTATTTTTGTGGGACCTTGAGCACCAGGTAAAGGGTGGGAACTTAAAGCCGTAACCTGAGAAGAGGTGAAGCCACACTCAGCTTCTAGCTTCATCGGCCGCATTTCCCGTGAGTCTTGTGTTCATTCCTCTGGGTTTTCTCCAGATTTTTATAACAATAAAAATGAAAATAATGCCATTTTATTATTAGATTAAAATATGAAATGTGTCACAGATTTTTCTCAGTTTATTATTAGTCTGAAGCAGCTGTAGGACGCAACAACAGGCTTAATAAAGGCAGCTCAGAAGCTGCTGTGGAACGGCATTGTGGCTTTCTGACACATTCCTGGTTTTTTTGTTTTTGTGACACATTGAACTAGGTTTTAATCGTCACATCATGTGAAAATAGTTGGTTGAAAGTAAGAAAATTAGGCCAGGCACGGTAGCTCATGCCTATAATCCTAGCACTCTGGGAGGCTGAGGCAGGAGGATGGCTCAAAGTCAGGAGTTCGAAACCAGCCTGAGCAAGAGCGTCAAGACCCCATCTCTACTAAAAATAGAAAGAAATTAATTGATCAACTAAAAATATATAGAAAACATTAGCCAGGCATGGTGGCTCATGCCTGTAGTCCTAGCTACTCAGGAGGCTGAGGCAGTAGGATTGCTTGAGCCCAGGAGTTTGAGATTGCTGTGAGCTAGGCTGACGCCATGGCACTCTAGCCTGGGCAACAGAGTAAGACTCTGTCTCAAAAAAAAAAAAAAAAAGTGAGAAAATTATTTTGTGCATTTAATCTTATCTACGTGGAATAAACCCACACGCCAGATTGCTTAGGGGAGTCACTAAATTTCAAGAATTTTCGATATATACTCACATAATGGGTGCAGTGCGCACCACCTGGGGGTTGGACACGCTTGATGTTCTGGCACGGCTTGGGGGACGGGTGGCAGGGGCAATATATATAACCCTAAGAATATTTGTACCCCCACAATATGATAAAATGAAAGAAAAAAAAAAAGAATTTTCGAAAGCTGAACTTAGTCACATGCCCATGCACAGACACATAATGTTATCTTAGCAAGTGATGCTTGGGGATTCGGCAGCCTTGTTGTGAGGCGTCCTTTGGCCAAATAAGCACCAAGAGAGCTTTGTCCCGGCTGGAATCACTCTGGCGGCAATGGTGGCATCGGTCAGCCATGGCTCTGGCTACCTCAGGTTCCCCTCACTCTCGTTTCCAGAATGTGTGTGATGCAAGGGTGGTCTCCTTGTTACGTCACGTATGGCTCTGGTGCTCGCAGAATCGTGCCGCCGCGCTCCCTCCCTGGAAGTGGGAACGCACATCGCCCTCCACAGCTGATGGTCCTTGCTTCGCCCGCTTGGCTTCTGTTTAGTCTTTGGTCCCTGAGCACTTCCTTTGCGACAGCTTTAATGTCATCGGCCACTCGTTATAAATGTGTCCGATTTCCTGTGAACCGGAATGGGAAAGGATCTTCAAATCACATTGTGTGAGGGACCAGTCGAAGGCACTAATGAGGTAAAATAAGAATTGAACGTCACGTGCTTGGATTCACGTCGTTTTTTTGCCCATGACTTTCCTCTGTGCCACAAGATTAAAAGCTCCTAGAGAGAGGGACTCTGTGAATGGTTATTAAGAATCTGTGGAATTAAATGTCAAGTCAAAAACATTACAGTTTTTAAAAAGCCTGTTCTGTGGAAGACACCTAAGCCAGGGATGTTATGTTCCTCCTTAATTACAAAGTACAGGTGCTTCCCTCTAAGGCAAAGTCTTCATTTGAAATTATCGCTGATATAAAATCAGAACAAGAGAAATCTTGCGATAGAGGACACGTGTCCGTTCGGTTCCAGCTTGTATGCTGCTTACCATTCTTCTGTGAAAGGGAGGAACAAGCTGGACTTGTCCCTTATGGCTCTTTCTAGAT